CAGGGTTTTTAAGACATTTCCTGTTCTGTTTCTTGTGATGGCGGGCCCTTTTTTTTTTTTTTTTTTTGATCTCATTGAAGACTGAAATGAAGCATGGCATTTAGTAAAGCTGGAGAGGTGGGGGGATGTTATACAGCACCAGATCTGCTCATTTGTGTGTGGGAACACGATGCATAACAGCTGTCCTGCATTATCTTTTATGAATCTCATCTGCTTTTATTGTAATTTTCTCTCAGGAATTTATACATGTGTTCTGTTGTATTTTCCGCTCTGTTTTCTTGGTTTTCTGCGACGTAAATCACTTAATTGAATATTTCGTTCTCCAGGTAACAACTGGCAGTTTGCATTCGGTGTCAAGTTTTACCCTCCTGACCCATCGCAGCTCACCGAGGACATCACAAGGTACAGACACACACACACACACACACACACACTCACACTCAACTTCCACAATTACTAACACCGTTTGGTAAAAATGCAAACAAAAGCCTGAAAATAAACTGCTGTGAAGACTTGGTGATCACAACATGACGTTTTTTGTCAGTGTTGCTGAAAAATGAACACTTTGAACAAGACAAGCTAACAAAAACAAAAAGCTAGAAATGAGCTCAGTTGAAGAGAACAGCATGGCCTAGTCAAAACCTACTGAACCGGGTCAAAATATATTCTGAGCTGTCTTCTGGTTTCTCTCTCGCATGGTTACTGAGTTGTAACCATGCGAGAGAAATAATATCGCAGGTTAGCTGGCCATGTTTCCAAATAATCCCCTTCCAACTTAACGTCCAGCCATTATGCCGACTGATCCCACCTACTAGCAGACTCAGAGTTATACTTCCTGCATTCATTGAGTGACTTTCTTTTTGCCATCCAAAAAAAAAAAAATACCATCACAATATCTACTTGTGTTTCAGTGGTGTTTTTGTCCTACACCAGATGCCTTTTTTGTGATAAAGTATCCATTACGTTCTGCTGCTTTGGCCTGCTGTTTTATGTTAGGCTCTTTGTTGTTCAGATTTGCTGAAAACAACGACCCACTCTGGCTGAAAATGTGAGTCATAGAGTAAAGTCAGTGAAAGTGAAGCAGACCCATTGAAGACTGGGTCTGGCCCTAATGCCAAAACAATGTGCTCTGACGCCACACAACGCTTCAAAGAGGAGCAGGGAAGCGCTCAGCTAATTTGAAACTCGGTGCTGGACTTCTTCTCACGTGTAATAGTTTTTCCTTTTGATTAAACTTGGGTAAATAAACATAAACTCAGATTTTTATATGTATTCAGACGCATGTTCTCCTGAGTCAGTACTTTGTATTTTCATCGGGGTTCGTACCAGTGCTTGAAATCATTCAAAATGCTTGGATTTCAATTAGCTCTTTTCAAGGCTCAGAAACGGCTTGATTTCTGTATAAAGTACTTTAAAGTGCTTAATATTCAAACTGCATGGTTTTGTCATAAAGTGCACTCTGGAATTGAATCTGAAATTGAATCGAGACCATCTTTTTTTTAGTCAATCTGTTTTGTTTTCATCTCCAGTGTGGTAGTGGAAAAATTTGAAAACGTACCTTGATAATACTTGACAGGTTTTTGAATTTTACTGTAGGAAAAGTGTAGGAACCCTGAACCATCAACTAAACAGAGCAGAAGAAATCTTTATGATGCAGGGAGAAACCTCTTGAAGAATCAGTAAAAGATGTCCTGTTGTTCAGCTACAAGAATGGAAAGAAACCTGCCCTACTGAGACAACTATAACAAAGGCATTTAATCCATACCCGTTTCCTGTTTTGAGTCTATTTTTTTCCCTCACCTTATCGTTTTTAGGTACCTTTTGTGTCTGCAGCTGCGGGAGGATGTTGCTTCTGGACGGCTGCCTTGCTCATTCGTCACCCACGCTCTGCTGGGGTCATACACGTTGCAGGTAGAGCAAAAAACCAAAAACAAAACAAAAACAAATATTCTGTCTGTTCTCTTGTCTTGTGTTTCTGAGGTAACCTATGCGATAATCATGTTGACCAGTAAGTATATTTAGCCGTGGCAGCTTCCCAAAAATAGATTTCTGTTTTTGAATAATTTACAGGCCGAACTGGGCGACCATGAACCCGACCAACCTCGCCCTTTGGACTTCATCAGTCAGCTGACGTTTGCGCCCAATCAGAACAAAGAGATGGAGGAGAAGATTCTTGAACTCCACAAATCCCACAGGTCAGAGAGGAAAATGAGTTTGACTCGTAGTTTGATAGTTCAGTTGTTATCAAGGGAGTCTGACCGGATTATATTTATATGCACGACTTATTGTGATATGTTATTTAATTTTAGCCATTCTTTCGTTTTTAGGGGAATGACACCAGCACAGGCGGACCTCCAGTTTCTAGAAAATGCCAAGAAGCTGTCCATGTACGGAGTGGACCTGCACCACGCCAAGGTATAAATAAATGAAGGCCTCCCCTCTTCTCCTCTTCCTCTCCATTGTTGTTGACATCTGGGGATTAGCCCAGCTCCTTTGATGCGCATGCATGTTTGTATCTGTGCGTGTCAGCTGTGCAAACACTCGGGCAGACCATTTCCATGGGAACAGCCACTCTCCCTCGCTGGGATAGTGGCTCATCAGCCGACTGGATGTGTGTCGGAACATGTACTGGGGTCTTTGGGGCAAAACCAGCAAATACACATGAGAATAAGAGAGTCTGGAAATAGGAAGCTGGGAGGCATGTTAGAGAGCGAAGACAAAACAGGGTTTAACTGAGGATGAGGCCAGTCCAATTAGATTTAGAGAGAGGCAAGTTCCCTTTAAGGACCTGCTCCACTTCTGCCCAGCAGAGAGTGGAAAGAACGGTGCAGCGGAGCGCTTTAATTGCTGACAGTCTTTTTTCTTTTCATCGCACACAATTGTTAATTATCCTGGAAATTCAAAGGGATGATCTACTTGATCTTTTATGTAACATGTCTGCAGGTTTTATCATTCCAAAGCCTGCAAAAGAGGCGACCTAAACACCATGATTAACCTGTAGAAGGAGTCATACTAAGTTGTGTGCCTGATGATGCGGAGACTTCGGCGTTATGGAACGGGCGGGGTCGCAGCTTGATTTGTTTGATCATTACATGGCAGATCAAACTGTTGGGTTTGGGATGCAGTGCAGCTTTGAAATGCTTCTATGCTATTGGTGCAAATTCCTTTCAAAACGTTGCAGTATTTTCTGAAGCCACTTGTCTTTAAAACTCTTTAAAACTGAACTTGCATTTACTGTTGCAACACGCAGATTGCATTATGTGCTACATAGAGGGTCATCAGCAGCACAGTGCTGATATTCAGCTCAAAACTCGTGTGGTTTTACGTGATAAATGGGAAAATTTGCACGAATGAGTTGGAATAAAATTCGACATTATTGAATTCATGGTTCATCTGTTCAGTTTGTTTGCTCCTTTTATTCATCTTTCAGTTTGGACTAGGCATATGCTGGTGACCCACATCAAGGTTAAACAAGGCTATGGTTCAAAAACATTCCCCATTGTAGCAGCTCTGTGGGTTAAAGTCCTTTTAATGAGATGCCAGAGCAAGTGTTGGAGTGAGACTGTTTTGTTTTGGCTAGACTGAGTAGGATGGAGCAGCATTGTTACCGTTTGCTAGAATTTGATGATTCAAAATGACTTTATGACGACTCACATCGACCAAAACTTGACTAAATCGCCTCCCAGACATAGAAAACCAGGCGCCTTCATGACTTATTCTCATTGATCACTTGGACAATTGTCCATGTTGTTGAGGTCGGTAATAGTTCTTTGTAAGAAATTGACCAAACAACTAAAGCCTATTAGTCCTTACAGCACAAGAACAAAGATCGATGGCTGGCTTTTAACACAGCACGTCCATTTGATGTGTAAAATGTGGCTGAGCCCCAGTAAAACTGTCCATTATCAGCATATTGCACTCTCCATCTGTGCAACTGATTGTTCTCTGTTAATTCATTGCCGTAATCAATTCACCTTTACTCTGGCCAAACGGCCTTGAATTTAAAAGGTGGGTTAGTCTGGAGGCTAACGTGTGCGTGCGCGTGTACGTAATAATTTCTGCTGACCCTAAACAGACTACTTTAAAAATCAGTCGATGAACGTCATGATCTGGTTTGTTTGTACTGCAGGCATTTATATCAGACGAATACATAATCTCCTCATCGAGTCATTTTCTATTTTCTACTTTTCTGTCTGACTGGGACAGGATTCAGAAGGAGTGGACATCATGCTGGGTGTGTGCGCCAACGGACTCTTGGTGTACAAAGACAGGCTTCGGATAAATCGGTTCGCTTGGCCCAAAATACTCAAGATATCGTACAAGAGGAACAACTTCTACATCAAGATCAGACCAGGAGAGGTTTGTATTAAACACACTGATAGATGGATGAATGTTAAAGTACTTTAAAGTTGTTGGGATGAATTGTGTTTAACTTCTGACATATGGGAGCACGTATAGATCGGTATGTGGAGTAAATGTGACGTAAGGGAGGAGAGTTTGTTTAAAAAAATTACAGGACAAATGTTAAAAACAGTTCTTCAGTTAGACGGCTTTAGGTGTGGAATAATTCTTATGAGGAGTTAAAGTTGTGTTTTTCACTCTTTAGATAAAAACAAAGTATAGAAATAATTTGCTTAACAAATACAGTAAGGCTTGATTATCATTATTTTCTTTTATGAGTTTGTCTACAGACTCAACTGCAGTCCTTAGATGTTTTTGAAAAATATGCAGGAAAGATTTGTTTTGATTTTGATAAATAAAGGCATAATAAACTTTCACCTACACTTTTTTTTGATTTACACTTTCTTGAAATTGATTGTCAGGATTTTAGGGTTTTTTTTTTTTTCTACATTTTGTGTGCTTTATTTCTCTATATGGAAAGGTTAAAATGACTGAAAAAAATAAATTGCAAAACAAGAAAACGTGTTCCTGTTCCTTTGACAGACGGAGCAGTTTGAGAGCACCGTGGGATTCAAGCTCCAGAATCACCGATCTGCTAAAAGGCTGTGGAAGGTCTGCGTAGAAAACCACAGCTTCTTCAGGTAAAAAGACAAATATACGTTCACAGTGAGATGCAATGCAATTAACAACGTAGAGTTTTAAGAACTTTATTTGACTCGAGACGAACCTGTATGTTCGTTTGTCCTATGGGATGGCGCTTTATGTATAAAATACACTCATACATAACCACAACATAGACAGAAAATCCAAGTGCACACTTTTGAGTGTGTTCTCCATGAGCTTCAGTATCCAGTCTGACAACTAGGAGACATTTCCCTCAATCACACGCACCTGTAAAAGTAACTACAAAATGTTTTTTTCAAATTAGACCATTGAACACGCTTTTGTCGGTGCTCTTTTTCTCCGTCTCCAGGCTAAACGCGCCGGAGCCTCCTACCAAGGCCCGCTTTCTGACGCTGGGATCCAAGTTCCGCTACAGCGGGCGAACGCAGGCCCAGACCCGGCTGGCCAGTTCTCTCATAGACCGACCCGCACCCAGCTTCGAACGCACCTCCTCGAAACGCATCAGCCGCAGCCTGGACGGAGGTAACGCACGCGGAAACGAGCGCCTTTTTTCAAGAGCCTCTCAACTTAAGGAAATACGCATCAAAAGAGGAATGTCGAGCATGAAGCACAGTTAGAATTTCATAAGTTTGCATCTGAATATCTTTTTTTCAAAATGGATCTGAAACACTCTATGTCGGAGCAGATACAGGAAATAGCTGGAGCATCTGTTTCCTGTCACACAGGGAGAGACAGAGCGAGGGAAAGGGAAAGAAGAAAATAAAGAATGCTCTGTTTATCGAAAAGAACAAAATTCTCAGCATGTAAAGTAATGTGACGACACGACTCCAGCCTCTGGGCAGTCAGCAAGTGCGAAGTTACCTTGTCTTATCTTGGAGCTGTTTTCATTTTCGTAGGATCACAATCATTTTATTGTCTTTAAAAACAGAACGCACCGTTTGTCCTGCGGTTTCCCCACATTTGGTTTACAGATTCCACTTTTTGCAGCTGCTTGCCTCCGTTTCCTGTCGGTTGCATTGTTCACCTACCTTACAGCGACCCCTGCTGGACAGATTGTTTTACTACAGTTCAGTGTTCTTGCTCCTTTGGAACCGCAAATTAAACCGTCAGATAACCAACAGATTTTCGTTGTGTTTTTTTTTTATTTTTTTCCTCTTCAGCACCGGTGATCAGCATAACTGAGGCTGGAAGTGAGACGGCGGAGAACGGACGGGATCATCGTCTAGAGCTTCACTCTGACTCCAAGGTGTGTATTCATCAAAATCCCATCGAAATGGAAATATTAAAGCAGAAAAGATCTGCCAGTGTTTTCAGACAACTTTAATACTGACGTGTTTCTTATTTCCGGGGGCGCAACGGTAGCTGTGTTATTGCTCAAATAACAGAAATCAGTAACAAGGTGACACTTGCTTTGTTGAACACTGAAAAAAAACAAACAAACATTATTTTGCCGTTTTTGTCAACTTCTTTAAATTGACTTTCTGACCACTACCTCAAAAAGCATAAACTGCCACAGGGAGGACTTGAACAGAACCAAATCGAGGGCCAGGATATTGTCGTTTGGAACATTTTTCACTGCCTTCAGGGGTAAAAAAAAAAAAAAAGAAAAAGGGAAAATGTCTGACTTTCTTTGCTTGTTTCTGGTGTTTCCTGAAAATCCTTTAGACCTCTAACGAACAAGAGTTCATCACTAATATTATTTGTTTTCAGCATGTCAGTTTCAATGCAAGGCTTCACGTCATCTTGGGCCAAACAACTGTTGGACTCCATCAAGCTTTAAATATATCATGAGAAATCTACAGATGCACTTATCGACAACTATAGTGTTTCTTTTTTGTTTCACACAAGAAAACCATGAAGTGGTTGTTGTCAAAGGAACCTCAGAATCATCTGTCTAAAGCAAACTGTATCAGCTAAGGCCTCATCAGTTGTAATGAGCGGCATGTGTTAACATTTGTGATGGTAGGACAGAAAAGGCTCTATTTGACCATTGCTCTGATTGTAAATATGAGCAACTTCAGGTTTACAGCTATTTTCTTTTGGAAATGCCTGCCTTACTTGATCTACACATTTTCCTATTTTCCCCATTTTGAAGAGTGGCTAAGCGAGATGAGCTTAAGCAAGCTCTGGGAAAAAGGAGGCCATTCAAATCGAAATTACAGTAGAAAACAAATATAAATCTAAAATATATTTTTAAAAAAAATCAATATTGAATTTAAATTATTAAAGAAAATAAATGTTTTGGTTACATTTATTTTTTAGGAGATGTTATAGGGTGTGCCTTTATGAAACAAGAAAATCTTTTGACATGCTATTTATTTCCTCTTAATAAATTTACTCAGATTAAAGGCTTTATTTTTCTAAACTTGTTAGTGTGAGATAAGGCTACACATTTCCACTTACACATGGTGTCAATATGGCATCTGGAGGCAGATGCACATCTGTTAATTGACTGATAAAGTCACTAAATACTGTCACGTTTACCTGGACTGCCATGCACTCACATGTCCACAAGGGGGCACTGCGCCCTCTTAAAGCCACCTCACATGAGTGGATCCTGTTTGCAGTGCATGCCTCCTGTCCCACCACCTTTTCCCTCACTGCCACCTTTTCCCTCCTGATCCTCACTCGCCTCCCGTCTCTCGCTGGTGACGCCCCCTGTTGGCAGTTTCTGCGAACTCCTGCGCCCTCTACTTTCTGCACTTTGCTCTCCCCGCTATGTTCACTTTGAAGCTGTCGTGTCGTTCACTGACTAATGTTATGTTTCTTTCCCTTTCTCTTTTTTTTCCCTTCACAAACACTCCCTTTAATTTTGCTTTTCCAATATCCCACTGGCATGATTTTTATATTTTCTTGTCATGACATGCCTATCGCTTATTTTGGTTTGTCGTTTCAATTGTTTTGTTTTTTTCCATACCTCGCCTTTTTTTTTTTTTACTTTTTCGTCGTGTGTATGCATTTTTCTCCCTCCTTTATATTATTTGCTTTATTTCCCATGTACATTTTCCCTCACCTTCACTTCCCACCGATTAGTCAATCTTTATGTTCCCTCTTTCGTTTTCCTCATCATCCTCACTCTCCTCCATCCCCCCTTCGCTCGACTCCATCTCCGAGCTCGACCGCGCCCTTTCCGACATCTCCGAGGACGACGACCGAGCCGAGGACGCGGAAGCCGCACGCTCGTTGTGGAGCCTCCCCTCAAACACCCTTTCGCTTTTCACCGATCAGCAGCTGGCTGATCTTGGACACCTCATTCAGACCTCTCCATCCTCCCAGCCGGTCTCTGCCTCCCAGACATGCAGCTCGGAGCTTGTGAAATACGAGGAGGGCGTCACCAGAGCAACAGCTGGTTGGGCGAATTTGCGACAGTGGTTCTCTCTGAAGGGTGTGGTTAAATTAGCTTCTTTCATCTTGTGTTTCCTCTCGGTTTTAAGCAAGAATGAAAGCAGGTGTCTGCCCAGGAAGATATTTACAGGGCTAGGAGAGAAGCTGAACATTTATTTTAACATTTTTGGCACTAAATATTCACCTTTCAACCTACCTGCATTTAGATTACGTCAAATTGTGAGCTGTTTAGCATTTCTGTGGGCTCGTTTTCTGGCATTTTTGACACATCTCCCACTAAAACTCAAGAAGTTCGTCGGTACTCTGCCTTTATACGCAAAGCAGCGACAGTTTCCCAAAGTATCCTCCATCCCCAACCCTCAGATTGTCTCCTTCTCTTTGCTTTCCTCCTTTTCTTCCCGTTCCCCTCTTCCTCTTACCACCTTCCGCTCTTCTAGCTTCACTGCATCTGTCCATCGCTACCTCCTAAACCCCTCCCCTCTCTTCCTCCCATGCCTCTTAGCACTCTTCCTGCTCGTCGTGATGGTGACAGCGAGCCAGTCGGTCGTTTTAGCCCTGATTTTAGCCACACCCCTCGGCCTGACCCTGTCCTACTTGGAGACGGCCGTCTCCAGTCGAAGAAAGACTCTTTTGCCCGTGTTTGTCAGCCACGAGGCAAGCGAGCGTAATTCAAGCTCCGGTGCAGACCAGGACGCCTCCGCCCTCACACCGACACACACGCACCCTCACGCCAGGCACCACGGAGGCATAGGCTGGACCCAGGAGATGTGTGATCCTGCGGCGTAAATTCGCACATTCAGATTTCTCATCCTGCCCCACTTTCCATTTTAATTCTTTTTTTGTTTTCAGCCTTTATGAGAATGTAAACATCACATAAACCTAAATGTTTCCTCCTTTTGTTTTTCCCTGCTAACAGCACCTCCTGATAAATCATCCTCCTCTTAGCTTCCCTGCACCTCACTCTAATCTTTCCAAAGTAAAGAATGAAGTTTGTGACATTATTTAAGGAAGTAAAACTATTTTTAAAAAAAAGTATCTAAATGAAGAATAATTATATAGTAAGTAGATATATGTAAGGCTTTTAGATGCTGTTTTTGACTAAAGTAAACAGATACGTGTTGAACACACTGTACAGTAACTTAACAAAATAGATAAAGTGTAGTATTTAAAAATCTGCATTATTTTACAATGTTCTCACTGAGCATTTATTAGCTCTTGGATATTAAACAAATGGGCACCCATTTGTTTTCACATAGGCATGGGCCGGCGCGAGAATACCGCTGCATGAAAAAAGCAAAAACTATTATGTTACTTTATATCGTGCGCTCATATAAACCATTAAAATCTCCCAGATGTGCACAATCTGTGCACATCAAAGCGACACGTGTATCTCAAAGACACAACATTTCCTGATTTTTTTCCCCACAACAACTAACAGGCAGTGCAGACAAAGAAAACATCTGGCATCACGCTGAAAGGAGAAGAAATGATTTAGTGACAGATTTAGCTGTTCCGAAGCCGTGATTTACCCTGATTCCCGCTAACCGGACCATGCATATGTGTAACACATTTGGCGCCCCCCCCCCCTATAGAAACTTTAGAACTCAAAACGTATTAAGTTTTTTATGAAGGCCCTCTACTTCATCTGGAGCATCTGGAGAAAAAAAAAGACTTATTCCTGGCGAATAAAATAGTTTTTAATCGTTTTTGATGTTGTACATAAAAATCAATTAACACAGAATAAATAAGCTTAATCCACACTTGCAGAAAACTTTAAGTCTTTTTTTAAAAGCAAGTTATTGCCGCCTCTGCGTACTAATCATCCTAAACTTCTGACATATAGTTTCACGTGACCAGAAGTGTCTCCTAACACAATGGGAACAGGCGTTTCTCATCATCCATGTCACCATTTTTTTTTTTTTTTAACTCATTTCCCCTTCATTTTGACTTCCACCTCCCATGTCTGCCACACTGAAGGCTGAGGAGGTGGACTTGAGCCCCGCCGATGTGGAAGCCATCCCCTCCCAGGTCTGTAAGACCTGTTTATTAAACACGCTAATTCAAAACCTGGTGTTATGGTACAAGACCTACAGAGGCTGTAGTCCTAACCTGTCCTTTCTCCTTGACTTTTACCCCAGCAGCAGTCACCTGGACGTGCTGAGCCTGCCCTCTCTCAGGTTCATAACGCTGTTATTGGTGATTTGATCGTGCCAGTGGTTTTCTCCGCTCACGCGGGTTGGCTTGATGGTTGATGTTGCCCTAAAGAGATCAGATAAAATCTGATAATAAAAGTCCAGTCAGAGGTTGAGCTGTAAAAATCGATCGAGAATGGGCATTTTCAACCAGTATTTTTAATTTCTTGCTGTGGCTTTCAGTTTCGCAGGTTGTGTTTGGGTTTTGCTTCGTGTGTGTGTGGGTGGGTGGTTCATCACATCATTTTGGGTTTGCTGAAAACACGCTGGGGTTTGTTGGTTTCTGTGCATGTCCGTTGGTGTCGTGGTGTTTCGAAACGCTTCGGCGGCATGGGTACAGCACTCAGATCATCAGAAACACCAAAATGTCTTCTTGTTCCTGCACCCATGATCAACTTTTTTTCTTTTTCTTTTTATTTTTTTTCAGTTTGGGATATTTACAGTTATTATTTTTTTAATTTAAGTCAAATTAGTTTCTGTTATTTCCTCTACACATTTGAGTTTATTTAAAATTTTTCATTAATTTCCTGCTGTATGTCTGCCTTCCAGAGTCCATTGAGAGTGCATGGGGACAATATTTATGTGAGGCACAGTAATTTAATGTTGGAGGTTGGTACTGGCGTCGACTGATGGCTGAAAACCAGATCTCCGTATTCCTACTTTTTCTCTAACGCCACCAGAGCTACAGCCCGGTCTTTACCGGACTACCGTACAAGACTGCTGCCCTCTCGCACTCTCAGGCTCTGTGTGCATGCCGGCGTGTGGACGTTTTACTCTCTACTTCAGCTTTTGGCAGATTTTCAGCAAATCCCGTCTCATTGAAAAACTTTGTTTTGAAGATCTTTCATTGCTCAGTGTCCTAATTTGCGCAGCAGCTATTCTGATCACTACACCCTTATGTTGTCCATCGATTACCAGACCCTTAGTAAAGTGTACCAGCATTCTGGCCAGTAAAGGGGGAGTTGGATCTGAATGTGTGAAATGCAAACTATTTGTTTCGTGTGCTTTGACACAAAAGCACATAAGAGACTTGCTCATCTAGAAACAATTTCCCAGGCCGAGCGTTCACAATGGCTGCTTTGTGAATAGGATGTGTGGCGTATTGACGCCACTATAATGCATGCTCTGTGCATGTTCAGTGCTGTTTTGTGGCTGTGTTTTTACCTTGTTTTTGTTCTCAGTCCTTGATTGGTCAAAGAGTTTGATTATTGCCAGGCAGCTGCGTCTAACCTCACTAACCTCTGCCTCTGCACAAGGAGCTTCCTTCCTGATTTCTCGTGATTGGCCGCCACTGCAGAGACTTGTGTGGTTGGATAACAAACTAAAACGACAACGCCTGTTTGTACAAATTGGGGCTGATGGTGATCGACTGCCATTGCGCTGAGAAGTCCACAGAGTATTTTGATAGTTTTAGAATTAAATGGGTCAAATGGGGGAATCTCTTGTTTGGAGAAATAAGCCAAAATAATTTACTGACTGAAAACCCCCAGATAGCCTTTTTTTTTTTTTTTTTGCCTTTAAAAAACAAATTTTAAAGGCCAGGTTGGTTTAGTTCATTTTTATTTATTAACAAAACTAAATGTAAAAACTACTTTCCAGCTTTACTCATGAAACATTCGATCTGAAACATTTCAGATTGGCAAAAAGTAAAATGAGAAGAAATTTATAAATATTTATTTACATATTTATCCGTATATATATATATATATATATATATATATATATATATATATATATATATATATATATATATATATATATATATATATATAGACAAACTAAGTAAAGAGAATTACTACCAGCTCCATGTTGTACATTCAGCCATGCTGTTTATGACCTCATTAATGGAGAAAAAAAAGACAAGTTGGGAGGCCCCGTTTCACTGAAGTCTGGATTTCAATTTTTTTTTTTTTAACCACAGAAAAAGCTTCAGTGAAGCCTGCCCTCCATCCTGTTGCTCTTTGGATTGACAGATTATTTCTGTAAACAATGTTTTCCCGCCTTATTCCTTCTCCTTTTATCTTTCCCCTCCCTCCTCAACTACCTTCTCTCCTGCTCTTTCCTGTTACATTTCTGCCTCATTATCTCACTTTTCCACCATTGAAGTTCCATTTTCTTCTCTCTTTTTTTCTCCTAATCTTCTTTTGGAAACTCTCATCAAATCCCCACTTCTATCATTCTTTGATTTTTCCTCCCGTTCTCCTCACTCCTTCTACTCATCCTCCTTTTCCCACTTACTCACCCCC